AATCATAGCATATTTATATATCTAACATTTATGTTTATAAGCAGGTTATAGAATTCTCTAATTCGAAAGTCTTTATATGTTCCTCATTTTAAATCTTTGAATATTTACATATCAAACACCTGAATGAATATATATAGCTGTATGGAATTGTTGTAACTAAATGTGTTTGTCCCCTTCATATGCAAATATAATTGAATAAGTGCAGATTCTTTTTTAGAATCTGGATGTATTTGAATATGGAAAGTATAAGATTGATGTATATTTAATCATTCATAAGTACATACTTGTGTAATATCCTAATCATAAAGGAGAAGTTGTTAACTTTCTCTAATCATCACATGCTTATGTATCACTTAATTGAGCTATGAATTTTATTTATTTACATATGTAACATCTAAACTTAATTTTTACATCCATACCACTTCACTGGTTCCATCGTTGTCAAGATTGGCCTGATTTTAATTGGTTATTTTCATTAGTTAAGCTTGCTTGCTTTGTAAATCTTTTAGCTGAAATACTTACTGAAATTTTAAAGGCATCAAGAAGCATTTATTTGTTGTTCATACACTCTCCATATCAGAAAAAAATGTCTGAGGCTATCAAAAATTTGAAACATCTTCGATATTTGAATCTTACTGTAAATCTCACTCAAATGCCAAGATCATTAAGTAGTCTTTATCATTTGCGGTTCATAATCTATAAAAATGTGGCTGGAAGGATCTTGCTCTGATGGTTTCTTATCTGGCGATGTGAATCTTTCTAATCTGCGTCACTTGGAATTAACGTGAATGCATTTTCTAGTGCACCTGGAATTGGGAAATTAAGTTCACTTTAAGAACTAATTGAGTTTAATGTTAAGAATAAGAATGGTTACAAAATTGGTGAGTTGGAACACATGAGCGAGTTGCGCAAATTAAAAATACATATTTTTTTTTGGAAAATATGAAGGATGCTAGAGAGGCTCACACTGTAAAATTATTTGAGAAAAGAAAGTCTAGTCTGAGCCTATCGCCAAATTAAAATCTTATTCCCCACTTTGAATTTTCATGTGCTTATCATTTAACTTCATTATTAAATTTTGTATATATAGTTTGCAAATGTTTATCTAATCCATTCATGTTATTCAATTGCAATTTGTTTTGAAGCGCCAACATAATTAATCAGGCACACCTTTAGTTGTTTCACTTTCTTTACTTTTTCTATTGTATAGTTCTGTCTTTACTACACAGTTTTTTCTTTCTTTACAGTACTTTATTATGAAGCTTTCCTTTAGTTTTTTCCCTTTTACAATACTTTACTATACAATACCTGCATGATCTGTATAACACTCCATTATATAATTCTTTTCTTTCCTTTCTTTACTGCATCGTACTATATATGTTCACCTGTACTTATACTTTTAATTATTGCTTCTCTAGCATGTTTATATGATATCTTAGGATAGAAGGTAGAGCACATGTTTAGGATTGGAATCTTATGACACACTTTTAAAAATTTCAATACCTTTTCAAAATTCTATAATACACATTAATATGATTATAAAATAATGTTTTAAACTTTACTTAACATATAAATAACAAGAACTTAGCATAAGTTAGTTAGGTGTTTTCTCTTCTCCCTCCTTTTCTTGGGACGAGACGACAATATGGAGTAAGTGATGATTCATCTCCGAGCAGCGGTCGAGATAACAACAGAAGTTGGCGAAAGGAACTTCGGCTGGACTTCGATAGATTTAAATAACATACATATAGGACGTCGAGGTCGTTCGTCTGACTCGAAGTAACTCCTCACACGCTATCTTTTAGGACTTCCTCCAATTGTTTATCGTACGATATAAATCCTAAACTTTTAGGATTCTGAGGTAGTTATCTGATACGACATAAGTCCTATTTTCTTGGGATTTTTGCATATGACATGTAAATACAAGCCCCAAATATCTAAATAATTTATAAGATTGAAACACTAAATACAGTTTTCTTTTCAAAAATATAAAGCCGAACCGTAGATTAGTTTGAGATATTACTGAAATCTCTTCAGTATCTCCAAATATCTCTTACTTTTGTCCCCCTTGGACTCCGAAAATAACTGTTTCATATTGAACCATTCCCATTTGAATTTCCTATAAACAATCATGAAAACCTAAACGTTGAAATCTTGAAGGCGAAACCCTAATCTTAATTAAGAGTTTTCTTAGCTGACTCTAATCACCTAAAATGTAATTAACTATAGAGGTTTGCCTCTATAGGGAATTAAAAGAACCAAGATTAATCTAAATCCTGTCTAATTTGTGTATCAGATATGAGAATTTGTCGGATATAAATTTTGCAGACCAAAATAAAGTCATAAACTTTTAAGTTTAGGTAGTTAAGTCTACCAACAAGTGCTACATTTATCATTCGAGATGATATATAATTTATGGTATTATGCTTAGTTACTTAAAATATTAGATATATGAGGTCTATCCGATATTTTTATTTTTTAAAATAAAATATATTAAAATTAAAAGTACATTATTTATATATCTTAAATTTTTGAAAATTTTAATGGCCGACAACACTTAGATGTTGTGATTAGGCCACATTGTATTTAGATGATTTGCTAGATTAGGGCTACGTTGTAGTTACAATTTTTCATGTCATGGTTATTGTTCCTTGGTTTGTGCTATAGCCAGATATTTTGTGATGCTTTATGTGTTTATTGGGTGTGAGATAGACACACTAGTATATTAGGGATATTTTTTTTGCAGGGAGCCACCTTGTTAATGCATTTTCTGCAGGTGTTGTTAAGCTCTCTTCCCATTGGGCATGGTTCACCACGTTGTATGTAAACAACCTTTATGCTAACTTGATTTTCATGTAAGTCAATTTTTTTTTAGACTTTATTATGTACCTTTTATAGACTTTAGGGGAGTCTGTACTAGAAATAATGTACATGCACGAGTTTCGATGCGTTTAACCTGCGAACCGTGGTCCATACCTTAACTTTGGATTTTTACTCTGATGTATAAGATTAAGACTAGACATGTATATGCGGAGTTTAGTTGCCTTTTTTCTTCCTGAAATATTTTGCCAACCCAACGACACACGATCTGTATTTTTTATTTATATTTGACTTGGTTTACTTGGTGCAATTTGTTGAGTTTCCTCTTTCTTACTGATTGTGGTTTATTTGGAAATCTTGTTTGATACAATTTAGGCTCTTTAGGATTAAAATATTTCATTTCTATGAAAATCTTAATAATAAAATATTGAGCTTAATTAAAATTTTAGATTAAAATATCATCATTTTAAAATGAGTATTTTATTTCCTATATTTTAATTTTCTGCGTAGCGTTTGGGTTTGTTTTAAAGTGGGTCGCATGCATGGACATAACCGAATCATATTTTATAGTCTCTATGCTTTGGACTTTAGATGATTGTATTATTTTACATATCCCGGGGAGAAGCCCCTGTGCTTCTTCAGGCTCACTGACCAATCATAAATTTTCTGCTTATGTGGTTGTCTAACACACTTATATTGTTAGAGGCTTTCCCGAACCAGACGGAGTGTAAGTCCTTTGTGGGAATGTTTTACAGCTTTGTAGCTGGACCTCTCTTTTCACTACTTTCCGGTGACTTCCTTGTCATTTACATGACGAGTATAAGTTCGACCTCTTTAAGTTCTACCTTTATAGGGTCATAAAACTTAGAGCTTCATTCTTTTCACCTTAGGGCTACCGAGGTCTCCTTGGACGACACAATTCATGGATTGTTGATAAGGAGACTTTGGTCGGGTTGGGTCGACTACCTTCTCGCCCAGGTAGACTTAGGGTCTCCATAACTTGAGATGACAGATGCATGGTAGCCTAACCTTGCTGCTACTACTTTTTTAGGGATTTTATCTCTCATTTGTCGAGCTCATTTGAGCCCAGTTGTTCTTTGTGATTTCGTTGATGTCGTTTCGATGCTTTTGATTGCCGATGGACCGCCACTCATTTGTGATAAAATGATTTACCCTCTGTTCTTATAGCCCGGTGAGCTTTGAAGTATAGAGATTTTTCAGTCGAACCAATTTGGTTATTTCTTTGGTCTCTCTCTTCGGCGTGCCACCGTCCATTTGTGGATATGAGGGATTCTTCATCTCCCATGTGGCTCTGTATATGCTCCCGAGACGACGAGATGTTCTGATGGAATAACCATTTTTTTGATGACTTATTTACCAGTTATCAGAACAATGTAAGCAAAGCCTTTTTTATCAGAAGTATTTAAGTATCATCCAAGATGTAATTAACCAATAAGATACATTTATTTGAGAGTACTCTTGACCTCAGAACAAAAATGTTCTTTTTGGTTTTCTGATTATAGATGACTTATGTAGGGATTTTCTTTGTGAATACCATAGTTCGAGGTATTTCGATCTGATTTTTGTTTGGATGTGTACTCTTGACCTATCACACAAAAATTATCTTTTATAAGCTTTCCATGTTTCTTTTTAATTTAATTTGTCTATTTTTTGTCATATATATTTCTTTTCAATTTCCCCCCTCTTTGGATCATTTTTATGATATGGGAAGGAGATTTATTTGAAAAAGGGAATAACACAACGACATATAAATAGATAAGTTGATGACTCCAAGTTTTTAAAAAGAATAAAAAACATTCATTAACTACAACTAATGAGTTTGTAATTCATTAACTACAACCAATGAGTTTGTAATTCAATGGACCCTTCAAACTAAAATAAAAGGTTTCATGTAACATCTTACAATCTTGTGATTACATAAAGGACATTCTTTTGCATAGTTCTCAATCATAGACTATGTTTCGAAATTGTTAGCGTAAATTTATTAGTTAATGGTGTCAGTAGGAACTTAAGGATTGCTCATGATATCAGTTGGCGATGCGGAGAACTTTCATATAAATTCTCAGGCTTTTGATCTCGACGCTTCGGTTCTCCTATTTATTGCACTACTTCGTAACCATGCTGTTCTAATCTGTACATCTCTTATACTCTTCTTTCAGGTGCCCTTCCTAATCTGGCATTTATATTGTATATGTTGCAACATCAAAACTGATGAGTGGGTGAGTCTTTTCCATACAATATATCCAATAGAAAATTCATGTTCTTCTCCCTTTTAATACAGGCAGGAATCATCATGTAGGTTAACTGGAGTAAATACCCTGAATTTCAACTTGTCGCTCATTCTCCACAAGGTTCATTCACTAAATGCTTCCATGTAACATATTTCGTTGAGATTATTCATTAAATTTATAATTTGTGCCTCCTTTATTTTTTCTTTTCAGAAAGTTCATTCACAGTGATGAGATTTGTGAATCCGTATAACCAAGGTATTCTGAGCAACGTTAGAGAGTATTTGACATCAAGTTAAAGTGGTGGTTTTGTCGAACAAACTCATGGGGTCATGCTATGACTACAAATCAATGCAAGGTTGACTCTCCTCTTTGATTCACTCAACAAGTGGCACTTGGCTTTGATAACTTGTTTGGGATATTTTTGGTGGTAAATTATTTCATTTATTTATACATTTATTTCATTTGTGGATGTAAACTATATTACTTGGTTTAATACCTTGCACATCTAAAGCCTACAACCAAAGTATTTTTTCTTTTTTATTTATTTGCATTGTTTATTTTAAGGCCTAGATGTGAAAAGTGAAGAGTTGCGCTAAGTAGTCGACAAATCGTAAAATTTGTCGAAAAATCATGACATTAATCCTTGTCCTTGTATAAATGTTAGGGCATCCCTTGAAAGCGACGTGTTTTATGATCTTAATAATATGAAAAGTGTATAAGTGTCGTTAAACCGGCACCCCCGACCGCAGTGTCTAATAAGCAAGAGTTCCTATATTACGGACAAATGAGGGTAAAAAAGCTAGTCCATGAAACTAATATTAGGATAAAGTCTTTGAATGTAGGTATTCTTACAGGTAAATTAATCGAATTAGTTGATATTATGGTTCATAAGAAGATAAATGTCTTATGTATTCAAGAAACTAAATGGGTTGGAAAAAATGTTTTAAGGAGATTGATAGTTTTGATTGTGAACTTTGGTATTCAGGTAAGAGTCACACTAGAACTGATGTAGGTGTAATTATATATAAGAGTTTGAAAGATAATATTATAAAAATTAATAGAATTGGAGATTGAATTATAGCCTGTAAGATTGTTGTTAATACTAAGATTTTTAATGGTACAACTGTTTATGCTCTTCAAGTAGGTTTAAATATAGGTTTTAAAGAAAAATTTTAGAACCTAGAAGAATTAATACAAATGATACATTTTGAAGAAATTTTTTTTTGTTGGAGATTTAAATGGACATGTTGATAGAGTTGTAGAAAATTTTAGAAATTTTCATGATGGCTACGGTTTTGGAGTGATTAACGAAGACGACAGAGTCATATTAGATTTTATTTTAGCGTATAATTTTATTATTATTAATATTTTATTTAATAAAATAGATGAACATATTATTACTTATAAGAATGATCTAATAAACACAAATTGATTATTTTCTTATGAGACGAGATGGTCGAAAATGTAAAAATTGTAAGGTCATTCTAAGTGAGAATTTAAGTACTCAGCATGACTGTGCAAGATGTCATGCAGGACATATAGCACAGAAGGTATCGTGTTCGGTCGCCTAGGATATAGGACATCACTAGGGAGAATTACACCTTGCCCCAATAATAACTAGACGCACATACAGATGACAAGCACATACAAGATATAGTGCACCATGCAAGCAAACAAACACACTAATGTACATGCGAGACATACTCTATGCATGTGATATGTCAACAAGGCCGAGACTGCTAATCAAACCAAAGAGATCTGTCTACTAGGCCGCAACGGTCGGTTAGACCAAAATGTCAGCCGACCGGGTTAGAGCGGCCAGTCGAACCAAAGCGATCGGTCAACCGGGCTAGGACGGCTAGTTGGAGGGACCAAAATGTTTGATCGACCGGGTCGGGGAGGCCGATCTGAGCAGAGTGGCCGGTCAAACTAGCCGGGGAGGCCGATCAAACCAAATTGGTTGATCCACCGGGGAGGCCGATCTGAGCAGAGTGGCCGGTCAAACTAGCCGGGGAGGCCGATCAAACCAAATTGGTTGATCCACCAGGCTGGGGCGGACAGTCGAGGCGAGGTGCTCTGCGGGCATGACCGGGGAGGCCAATTGAGGCAAGGTGCTATGCCGACGGGCCGGGGCGGCCGATCGAGGCAATATGCTAAGCAGACCGAGATGAGGTGGTTGCTCGGATCAGAGAGGTCTGTCAATTGGGTTAAGGTGGTCGGTCAGACCCAGGTGATTGATAGATCAGGTTAGGGTGGCCGGTCATACCCAGGTGATCGGTAGATCTAGCTAGGGTGGTCGGTCGACCGGCCCGGGCAACCGATTGAGGCAAATGTGCAATGCCGACTGGGCTAGGGTAGCCGGTCGCGACAACGTGCTATGCCGAGAGGGTCGGGGTGGCCTATCGAGGCAAAGCGCAACATTCTTCAAGCAAGACACGTGATGCAATTCAAAGCAAATGATCATGCTCGATAACAAATCATACTTGTGCTAACATCCTCGCGTGGACAACTAGGGTTTACCACATGGGTATGCGACATAGCCGTCTCCTACTCTGGCAAGGCATGTGGGGAGCTTCACTTTCGAATCTCCTAAAAGGAAACTCTATACGATGCTGTGGAATTAGCTAGCCACAATGCTTGTCCCATGATTTATAACATAAGTTAGCTACAAAGCTTCTCTCACTTTGCAAAATCCAAACATCCCAAACTCTCTAAGGAAGGTTGGTGAATATCAAAGCAGGGGGAAATCGGGATTCTGATCCGCTAGGATTTAGGTTCAGGGTTCACAACGAGAAATCACTCTGCTCGGCAAAGGACTTAGCCACGCATGTGATTCATAACCTAGGGCTTTCTCTAGGAAATCAATGACCAATCCAAGGGAGTGTGATCGTGCTGACTAGTGTTGGCCGACCAACTAGCCCCGTGTGGGCGATCAAACCCACAACACTTAGCCAAATCTAATCTTAGGGCTAGCTAAGAAGGAAAAGCTCGGATTTCGAGAATCTCACCATTGCAGAGGTTGCGGTAGCATTTCTTCAAGTAGGAGGAAGCTCTTCTAACGGTAGAAGAGAAGCCCACGTTCCAGCGAAGCTTCAGTGAGGTCCACTCTATTCCTCCAAAGAACGAAGAAGTTATCCTCTAGAAGGAAAGTTCGGCAAGACTCTGACGAGGTTCCGAGCTCCGGTGGTGCTTCGGTGATCCTTCCCCAAGCTAGGATAAAGCTCTACTTTAGTGTAAGAGAGAAGCAACCTTGCTCCCTTGCTAGCCAAATTCTCTCTCCTCAAGGAAATCTCCTCACACACTCAAGGTAAATGACGGAGGAAGGTGAAGGAGGGGAGTAAAAAAGAGGAGCAAGTAGAGTTTCTTGTGGAAGAAGAAAAAAGTGAAAAGGAAGTAGAATCTCTCACTCTCATCTTTTCACCAAGCACTCCACCTCAAGGCCTTCAAGAAGAAACCCTTGCTCCTAGGAAGAAGAAACACTCCCTTGCCCTCTCAAGATCTCCAAGCCTCAGCCCCCCAAAAACTAACAAATGAGAAGAGATTGGCAGAAAGGATATTCCCCTAGGTTTAAACCATCTCACCAAAGGAAATCTCCCATTTGCCCCCTTACTTAGCCCTCTTGTAAACCTCAAAGAGAGGCCTAAATGTGGTATTATCTACCTCTTTTCTCTTCCCAAAAGCAAATCATCACAAAGTTTGCATTTTGGCTGCCTCGGGGTGTGCCAAGGCAAATTAGCTTTTTTTCGCGATCTAGGATTGGATTGGTCCTAGGTGCCGCGACTTTGGTGCTTAGCCGCCTAATCTGGTGCTACCCAGGTGGCGCATAGCTTCCCAGCTCTTGAGAAAGTGACAATTTTGAGCTATTTTGGGTGCTTAGGCGCTCAGGACTGGTGCCTAGGTGCCTAGTCTGGCGCCTATGCATTGGAAACTAGTGCCAGACTTCCAAGGGCTTGGTATTGACCATCCGGGAGGGCATTTTGGGCGCCTAGGCCCCGGTCTAGCTTCGAAAAGCTTGGTTCACACTGGAAGTGCATGACGGAGGATTTTCTCGCTTTGAAGACTATGGTAGACCACATATGAATAATTTATGATCCCCTAGCCTATAAAATGAGTATTTTGCTTGTGCATTGATTGGAGAATTTGTTATTGACGGGCGCCCTGGACTACAGTGTGGGTAGGGCATTTCAAGCCGTATTTTTCCCGCAGCGCGTGCAGGAAGGCCCCATGACTTCCCTCGACTCTGGGGAGGCTCTGAATGGATACAAAGGGACCTCTAATCACCATAATGAACATCAAACATGCTCAATGTCTTGGGTGAGTCCGTTCAACTAAGGGTTCTCCCGGGTAAGGTCGAATCGTTGCAGACCCTGGTTTCGTGCCTTGAACACGTACACGAGGTCTCGATGAGTGTTTTGTGCTACGTGAAGCTATGAAGGAGTTGTGAATTGTCTCGAGCCAGTCAAATGAACACTCTACACTCGCGATAAAAAAATTGGCGCCAACTGGAATATTTCTGTGATCCTCTTAAAAAGAAATTTTCTTTTTGAATGGCTATTGCACAAAGTTTGAAGGGATAAAAAGTATTCTGCTGGAGGAATTTTTTTTGGAAAGAGATTCCAATAGTGAGAGCAATAACATAATGTCATATTCTTCAACATCCACTGATGGTGGAAAAATCAATTCATGAGATGGTTATATATCCCGTCAAAATTGATGTGACGAAATTTGACATCAAAGAGAACTTTGACATGTGGTCATGCGAGGCGATGAATGTGTTGTGTTCTCTGAATCTGGAGGAAGTCCTATATAGCAAAGAATGCCCTGAAGAGATATCAGAGAGGGCTTGGTTGAAGATAAATGAAGTGCTTGTGACTCAGATACGAAATTGCTTGACTCAGAAGATCAAATATGGGATGATGATGAGAGAAACAACTCAACACTTCTCACAATGCAACTCTCATAATCACTCAAGTCCCTTTTATAGAGGAAGAATAGGACATACAAGTAAATAATTTTAAAAGACCAAATTACCCCCAATTAATAAAATAATACAACACTTTCTTCAAGAGCAAAATTGGATCGATATCCTTAAGACCTAATCCCATTTCAAACTTCAAATTTAAACCTATGGATGAATACTAATCATTTGCTATTTTTACTCCATTCTTAAGCTATTTGATATTGAACTAAACTTTAAACTCACATATGTTTTGACACTCTTTGTCTTATGTTTGTTGCATCAATTACATTGCTTTTAAGCATTTGTCTTGAAACGTGATGGATCTTATATTTTTCATATGTTTTATCTTATATTTGTGGTAAATATTGATTGAATTGTTCATATATTTTGCAACTCCAATGAGTTGCACTCAACATTCAAGAAGAGGCTTGATCTCATTGCAGCTCCACAAAGTTGAGTTGGCTCCTTGTGAATTATGATTTATGATATTGACAAACATGAATGATAATTGAGTTAGCAACAACATATTTTAATGATTGAGCACCAAGACTTAAATCAAAATAAAAGCTATAATGATGAGTGAAAACTTGTTGCATCCTACTCTTCCACTTTTGATTGTGAAAGGATTTGATGATGTATGAAGTACATGCGAGTAGGATATGGAAGCTGGTGTGGCTACTGTTATAATGAGTACTGCTCCCATCTTTTATCCTTTTCTGACTCAAAAGTGTTCAGTTGGTCTCTAAAGAATTGAAATCAGACTCATATTTGACTGAAATTAATAATTTC